TGCTAATTTCAGCTACTTTTAAAAGTAATTTTATGCTAATTTCAGCTGTTTTGTGTGTTTTTAGCTAATTTGTCTGTTTTTCAGCTAAAATCACCTTTTTGGATGATTACCTCTTGCTTAATTCAGTAAACATGCTTTTTCTGTTTTTTTGTGCTAATTTCAGCCACTTTTTAAAGCTATTTTATGATGTTTTCAGGTTGTTTTTTTTTAGCTAATTAGCAAAAATCTGTTAGCACTAAGCGTTCACACTGTATTTTCACATGAAATGTAAACTCTCCAGTTTACATCAATGTGATGCAGGATGCTGATTTTCAGGAAATAAAACCACAAATCAGTTTTTCAACGATCCTGAAGCAGTTTGTTGATTTTTGGATGTTTTGACGAGCAAATGAAAGAGAGCCAGGGTAGATAATAAGCAGTCTCCTGCAGCCCGGGTCCAACCTGCTCCTAATCTGTTACAATGCTCGGCTCTGCTCGACTAATTAGATAAATGGCCACCTGCTCTTTTTTGCCGTCGATGACATCTGGCTGAACAAAAGAAATAATTAGCGGCGTGGTCCGACAGACAACTCATCCTGCAGCAGCTACGAGGCACGGATACCTGGTCAGGGCTGGAAATTGCAGCTTGGCGGGTCTTTTTTTTTTTTTTTTTTTGTTAAGCCTAGACACAGATTAAAAACTTAGTCCTGGATCACTAATCATGAGTTGTACGATTAATTTAGGCCTTTTTTGTTTTTTGTCTGCTAACGCTCAGACACTCAAATCCTCAGATTCTTCAGGCTTTTTACTTTAATGGGAATTACACTGAAGAGGCCTTCAAAGAGAAATTTTAACAAAGTTTTTATACAAAACCATACACTCAAATTTCAGTTTTTAACTAATTCTACACGATTTTGTCTTTAAAAGGAAGTAAAAGTGTTAAAAGTTGCWTTGATGGCCGCGGCGGTGGCAGAAGTCGGCTGAACTTCCTGAACAAGGAGGTATTGATTGGTCTATTGATTTTCATTGTCGAAAGTTGAAATCCAATTAAAAGTTGAACTGAAAATCGGTTAATCCAATCAAGACGATAAAAAAATGTATCGATCTTCGCCTGAAGATCAATACGATGCTCTTGCGCTGAAACTGAACGCTTCACTTTTACCAAAAGAACCAGTTTATCAGATAAATTAAGCTAAAAACTGACCTTTTTCTTGTTTGTTTTTTTCCACTTGGTGTTTTGTTGTTTCAAATGTTAAATTAGTTTTTGCAGATTCCACCCGCCGACGTCGTGGGGAAATCCACCGGTCGGTCTCACAGAGGACTGGATGAAGCCAAAGAGGAAAAACTTCAGTTATTTACTGTAAATTCATCCAGTCTGAAGAAAAAAGTCTCTTTTTAACTTAACATTAATCTGGATGCTGATTCAGCATCACTATGTTGATT